CCACCACCCCGCCCCCCCCCCCCCCCTGGGGGGGGGGGGGGGGGTGTTGATCTGCCCTGCCCATGCCCCTTCACTCCCCCCTCCCCTTTCACCACAACAGACTTACCAGGTGGACGCAGCTGTATTGGAATTTGGATTGGTATTGGCCGATATGCTTCCTTAAAAACCGGCTATTGGTATTGGCCCCCAATCTCTATCGGTGCACCCCTAATAGAAAGATGTTTCATTCGCAAATGTTTTGATGTGGAGAGTGCAGCTATTAAGTAAGTCACCAAGGCTTACCTGTGACATTAAGGGTACGTTTTGCTTTCTAGCTGTGCTATTGACTTTAACGGGAACGTTCCATGTGCAGCAGAAAGCTGCATTGGGCCTGTTTAAATACTCTGTTTTTCACTTGCATATAATGATTACTTTTCTTTGTTTTGTTATTAATAACATAATGCTGGAATTGAATTGGTATGACTTGAAGAATGGCCTTTAGGAGACTGACTGTTCACAATTTTCATCACAAATTGGGCACATCATTGTTTGTACAGGCATCTTTCACAACCACAGTTGGTTGCTCTCTGTGCACTTTTGAAGGACTCCTGGAAAGCCTTCTCAGCAGATACTCTTTTAAAAATAGTATAGCATCAGTATCTATTCATTTTGAATAGTGTGCAGCTATTTTCCATAGTTAGTTTGCATTACTGGGGTTCTACCTAGTGGAGTTTTTAGGTAAGACATAACCTTATAGCAGGCTGCAGGGTTGACAAGCTGCATGCCTAAGGGGACTCAACTGGCTTAGGCAATCGGCCAGGGGAAGTTGACTGGCTGACTGTGAATAAAGGGACAGGGAGGAAGTATGGGGAGAAGGACCTGGAGGGGTTTTTGATGTTGTAGAGACAGAGGATTCCTTCAAGGAAGAAGGAAGGCTACAGGGTGAGAACTAACCCATGCTGGTAGGGGCTCATTTTGGATTGTTTTATTTTTCTGCTGAGCTCTGTGGTGCAGATCGACCCAGGGCGTTAAAACTTGTGTTGCTGGGTCCAAGCTAAGGCTGCGTTTATTTTTTGGTTGCTTATACATTTGGCTGAGCCCTGTGGAGCAGAAAATCCAGGGCAATAAAACCCTGTGTTTAGGGGCCCAGAGAAGACTGTGTTTCTGGGACCAGATTAAAGGAATCGGGGGGGGTGTTAAAGGACTGATGTGAGCCTGGCAGAGCCAGGCTAACCCAAACCCCGCTACAAGCTTCTTTCACTCTTATAGCATGCTGCTTTTTAGAAAATGTGACAGTGTGATATTCTAGTGGGCAAAATGTGTTATGAACTTCCAGTTTTCATTTAGCAAATCAAAGTCTTTATATAAGAGACACTGAGTCCTATTAAACTGTTGTTTGTCTTAACAGAGGAGAAAATAAAACAATGGCTTTCCTTGACTGGAAACTATGTACCATGAAACTTCTCTGTGTTGCACTTGCTTTTGGTTTGGCTTGCCATCTGGTTACTGCTACATTGTCAAAGATGGATGCCAAGAAAAGTGCTTCAAAAGCGCTGGAGGAAAAGGTAGGAGGACTAGTTTTTTTGTGGTAAGTCATACTTCAAGTGATTTAGCAAGTCTTGGCAGATATTGAAAGGATTTTCTACTTGCATTTCCTTAACACTTTGGTAAGAAATGGCCAACATCAATAACCATAAACTAACAAGGAACAGCCTTAGCCCTTCCTACTTAAACTGATAGTTTCAAAGTTAAGTACAGTAATGTCCCATTCCCTCCCTCCACCTTTTTTAACTTGAACATTTTAAGTGCCCTCTACTGCTGCATCCATGGGTCAAATTAGTAGTGGGGGGACTCAGGCTGTGGGAGCTCTCTCCATACTGCCATGGAGCAAAGTGGTGGCAGTGGCTGGGTTCTGACCCAGGCTGGGTCATTCTAGCCCACCGCGTGAAAAGGCTACCAGCAGCTGTTCTATTGTACTGGTTGTTTTGCAGTTAAACCAAAGGTAGTTCAATACCTGTGAAAGCTTGGTGGTTTGTGCAGACCTGTGAACAACAGGATCAGATATGTTCAAGTTACTTCTTGCCCCTTGTGCATGTTACTACTTTGTGCTTGTTTAAATTTTCCCCATTGCCTCTGCTTAAAGAGCCTGGAATAGCCATGTATGCCAGGAGTGAAATGGATTAGCGAGGTGCAGCTAAGTGTTCAAAGTAAACATGTAGAAACTTGATCTTCAGTTTTATGATCTGTCCTTCTTAACGTGAATACTTGAGGTTTAAAAGTTCCACTCTTACTTTTGATCTTAAGTTATTGTAGCACTGGGTGTTGCACTGAATTTTGATTGAGGTGTGACATGGATGGAATAAACTGATTGTTGAGGCTGTTGTGGCCTCGGATTCAAAACTTATTAAATACATAAGCAATACTAAGACAAAACTCCAAACAGTTTTACAAAGGTATCCTTACATGGGCCTTCCAAATGATATGATGACCCAGCTGACCAGGTGTTTTTCATAGTACCAGGGATTGCAATCACAGCATTTGGGTGTCGTTTTGCTTTTTTTGCTTCTCAAGTGTTAAGCTCTACTGCTTTAGCTATTTAGCCATCTTACTCCCCCCCCCCCCCCCCCATTTCACTGAGAAGCCTTCATATAGTGATGTCACAGGTTCTCACTAGTCACCCCATCACAGCAGGTATTACCCTGGTACTTTGTTACCCACCATGGGTGACTGGAGCTGCTTTCGTTAGGTGGGGCATGTGCCCCCCCGAGGCCAGTTCTGCCAACTGGGGGTCCCCCCTGGGCAATCCCATGACAGCTGATCACTGCGATCTCTGCAGCCGCTTCTGGGAGCAAGTGCCGGCCGATCACTGCAGCTGCTCCCAGAAGTGGCCACAGCCACTCTCAGAAGCAACTGCAGCAATTGGCTGGCACTGGTGCTTCTGCTAGCCGCATGGGGGTGGGGCTCCCCAGCGCACATGGCAGCAGACCTGGAAGTGGACCAGAAGCACAGGCCATTTCCAGGTCCACTAGAGAGTGTGCTGGGGGCCCCCCCTGCTCGGCGACTGGTGCCTTTTGGGTTGGGGGGTACCTGGGGTCAATTGCTGAGCTGGGGGGTGCAGGGGGGCTCAGTAAAAGTGGACTGGAAGTACTTCCATTTCTGGGTTTACTGCTGAGCACTTGGAGGGTCCCCCAGAACTCCTGTAGGATGTTCCATCTACCCCAGCATCACGGTGTTCACAACCCGCACTGGTACCTCAAGGCATGTAGCAAAAAGGATTTAAAGCTGTGTCTGTCAGAATCTCTGATTCTCAGAATAGGAGATTCAGTTTCAGCCAAATCGAATCAGGGACAGTGATCCAAATCGAATTGGGCCCGCTTCGCACTCCCCTACTAATCGTGTGTAGTGTCTTGGCTTTCCTCCTTTCTGGAGCCTGTTGGTGTGGGTGTATGTGTGTTCAGTTTTTGGTTTTGTTTATAGGGGGAATCCATACAACATAAGAGTTTTTAACTGTTATTGATATTGACAAAGCATTTCCAACTGCTTTTCTGCTTTTTAACTATGCAAAGCAGCAATATTTACAGGGAATGTTCAAAGCTTTAATGATGCAATTAAAGTCTCTACATTAATTTTTAAAGACTTTTACTTTCCTTAACTGACTTCATAGAAGTGTGTGTTTTGGTTTCCCCTTAGACAGTGCATTCAGACAAAACAGTACAGGACCGGGGTCTGGTAACAACTGATCTGAAGGCGAAAGATATTATATTGGAACACAAAAGTTACTGTGCCAAGAAAGTAAAGGAGAGACACTTCTCAGGAGATGTTCTGGGATATATCACCCCTGTAAGTAGTTTAAAAACCCAAAACATGCCAGACACTTGACCTTGGACTTTGGCACACTTTGATTGGAAGCCCAGCAGGCTAATAAGTTGCTAATCTTTTTTTCTCTTCAGTCTTGATGCATAGGTTTAGCCCAACCTTACTGGGTGCAAAATAGCATCTATCACTTGAGTTTTCTTATAGTGGTGTGGCTATTTCTAATACTTGACCAGAGTGCAGCTATGGGGGGTGGGAAAGGGGGAGAAGCATTTTGGGATTTGGACCTTGCTTCAAGTCTCTCTTCTACCACAAGACTTCATGACCTTTTTTGTCTTAAGTTTGTTTCTTCAGTTTGCCAGTGGAGAGAGAGAGACACTGTTGTCCCATGGTAGTAATATGAGATTGCAATATGCTTGCATTCTGTAATAATGTGTAGCTGTAGAATGCAACTAATATTTTTACACAATTTGTTCTGCTACTATTAGCTAGTCCCCTACTTCTGTTGTGCTAATTCATTAGTATTCTAGGCAACTTATATAAATCCATCTAGAATAATTTCTGACACTTCATACAGAGGTTAACTTGTCTGTCTGACTTTTGTCATTTACAGGAGAAGTAGATGTCTCTTTGAATTCCACTTGACTTCAGTTGGACATTGGAAATGTATAACCTATTAATATGATGCTCCCCATGTGTCTTAATTTAAGTAAAAGTTGTAGTTATGATAGGTGAATGTTCAAGCCCCTGCTGAAATGATCCCACTCATACAAATTGCAGGCAATTTCTAATGCGCATTCCTTAACTGATATAGAGTAATTGAAGCTCTTCAAACATCCCAGAGGGCTTACTGAAAATCCCACAAACTGTCCCATAGGAATCCTTCAAACACTTTTATCTGCATCATGCGGAAGAACTTAAATCTGGCGAGTAGTAAAGTCTGCTGTAGATCTTGTTCTGATGTCCTTTTCCCCCCTTTTTTGCAAGTGGAACAGCCATGGATATGACATTGCTAAAACGTTTGGAAACAAGTTTACATCCATCTCGCCAGTCTGGCTCCAAGTGAAAAGAAAGGGCAAGGAACGGTTCCAGTTCAGTGGGCTTCATGATGCTGACCAAGGTTATCTTATTCTTGCTTTATATATTATTTATAGCTGGCATGCTAGTATTGCTGAACGGAAAATATTAACTTATAAAGCTTGGCAATATACTGATACAGACGTGTCTTTGCTTTTGAGGTAGGATTTTATTTGACTGTTTAAAAAAAAAAAAAATAAGAAGGGGGATGGGAGAAAGGGGGGTATTTTATCAAAGAATAAATTGTCCTGTTTGCCCATGGAAATCAGTGGAAGGGTAGGGAATACTAAATACCTGGTTAAAGGAGGCACAGTGTAGGGGTGGGAAGGGGAGACAGGCAGAGGTAGTAGTGCATGTCCGCGTTTTTCATTCAGTCCATTTTTATCTGTTCTTGGAGTTTGCACCATGTAATTATATACTCCATATTTCTTTTCCTTGGAGACATCTCCTCACTTAACTATGAAGTATTTTGGAGTAGCTTGTACAAAAGATGACTCTTCTATAGTGTATTGAATTTCTTCATGGAGGAAGCCAGTCTAGAAATTCCAGAGAATGAGGAACAAACGGGGGGGGGGGGGGGACAAAAAAACTTCTCCGGGGGGGGGGGAACAAGAAATCTCTTCCTAGCTGAATTTTCAGGCTTTATGCTATTTACATTTATTTTTGGTAATGGCTTGGGTGCCAGCAAACATAATGGAACAAAGTTATCTCTAAAGAAAAGCTATCTCTGGAGACTAATTCTGAAGAAGAGATAATAATTCTGATCATGGCCTGCCCAACTTACCACATCAGTGAGATGATCCTGATGAAGCTAGCACAGAGTTTCAAATATCATTTTACTTAAAATTTTCCTTCTGAGGATGCTTCATGCTTGTGAAAATGTCAGCCTCAGGATGCTGCAATATCATGGCATAATAAATAAGTTTAAAAAAAAAAAAGTCTGTCAACAGTGGACAAATGTTGAAGTTTATAGTTATAGTGTTGATTTAAATAATGCTTCATGGAATCAAGACTCTAGTGCTATCTTCTTGATGCCCGAAAAGTTGCTCTTCCAATAGCACGATGCAAAATAACAACCTTACTGGTTTTTTGTTTTTTTTTTGTTTTGTTTTGTTTTTTAAAGGTGTGGATGTCTCAGATATAGTTAACTTAATAGCTGTTTAATTGTTTGACTTCATTTTGACAGGCTGGATAAAGGATGTCAGAAAAAACGCTAAAAACATCAAAATAGGTAAGCCTCCATTTAAGTGGGTTTTTTTGGGAGAGGGGGAGGAGGGATGTGCCATTCTGTCTATGGCAATTTGTAGATGAAAGGAAAATTTTTATACACAGGTGGGTTGTGGGTGTGGGGGAAGGGGATGGAGCAGGGGTTATGGGGCTTATGGGGATTTCAAGGCAAAAAGCTGAAAGGGATCAAAGCAACTACTTTTACTCAGTAATTCAGTGGCTATGCCTTTTTGGAGTGTTGAGGTTTCACCCTACGTGCTGCCCCCTTGGTTTGTATTTCTTCCGTCTTCATTCCTGGCAGCCACGTTTACCTCTTGGAGAGGTTTCGTGTGGCATCTGTACTCCTAAGCTTGACTTGCTTAGAGAAATATAGCAATGCCCTAGCTGGAATCTTGTGCAGGATGACACAGAATTTTGAGCAGAAGAAAAATGTGGCAAAACTTGGTCTCTGCAATGCTTCCTATTTTTTAGGGAAGTTGTGAAGCATTGCTATAAGGACTAGAATATGTTAAACTGCTTACCTTGTTCTGTGAGCCTGTAGTAGTTTACCACTTCTGTATAAAGTGAGTATGAGTTGCTGGTAGTGAAAATAAGTGGATCGGAGGAACATTTTCATAGACGTTAGGGTCGGAAGGGACCTCCGTAGGTCATCAAGTCCGACCTCCTGCCCTGGGCAGGAAAGAGCACTGGGGTCAGATGACTCCAGCTAGCTGCTTGTCCAGTCTCCTCTTGAAGACCCCTAAGGTAGGGGAGAGCACTGCCTCCCTTGGAAGCCCATTCCAGATTCTGGCAACCGTTACTGTGAAGAAGTTCTTTCTAATGTCCAACCTAAATCTGCTCTCCGTCGACTTGTGGCCATTGTTCCTAGTTACTCCAGGGGGTGCCCTAGTAAATAGAGCATCTTGTATTCCCTGCTGCTCTCCTCTGATGAATTAATAGGCAGCCACAAGATCACCTCTCAGCTTTCTCTTGCGAAGGCTGAAGAGATGTAGGTTCATCAGTCTCTCTTCATAGAGCCTTGCTTGCAGGCCTCTCACCATACAAGTGGCCTCCTCTGAACCCTCTCAAGATTCCCTGCATCCCTCTTGAAATGTGGTGCCCAATACTGGAGGCAGTACTCCAACTGCGACGTGACCAGTGCCTCATAGGGGGGGAAGCATCGCCTCCCTGATCCTGTTTGTCATGCATCTGTATCTGTCTATGCAGAGTAAGAGAGATTCATACATCAACACTCTAAGAAAAGAACAGTAATACCTAAGGGTAGTCATTTTAATTGTATTAACTGGATTAAGGAAATAAAGAACCATGGCAGATCTCTGAGTGCATGGGTGCTGCCTCCCCTCCCCTTTAAGAATAGTTTAGCATAATAGAAGTAACTGTAATTAAGCAAATAATTCAAATGTTTATGATTTCAGTTCCTCGAATCTTATTTGATGGCTGGTCTTACCATGACTTTGAAAGTGTTTTTGGCAGTGAAGATGAGATAGAAGAGCTCTCCCAGGTCATGGTTCAGCTAGCTAAGGTAAAATGACTCTCGTACTAATTTGGTGTACTGGTATGATCTCCTTCATTGACACCTGTTTTGTAAAGCATTTGGAAAAGAACCAGGAAAGTGTTTGCAGCCCTGTTGGATGTGAAGATTTCTAATGAAGCAGTAAGTAGGGAGGATGTTAAAGTACCTGCTAACACTTTAAACTCGCTTAATCTGAGAGACTAGGTAATATTAGAACTCTTGGATGCAAAACAGTAGGTAAAAAAACTATCCAAAATTTTAAAATCTGTGGAAAGCTTCCCTTGCAGTGAGATTAAAAAGCTCTGTTTCACTTGGATTAGATGTGATTTAAGCAATAACTAGATCAATCTAAATCTGTACTAATCTAGTAGATAGAAGTATAGAAAACTGAATGGGTAGAAGCTGAAATGAGACATTCGCACTAGTAAAAAGGTGGAAAATTTGAAAAGTGAGGGTAGCTAAGCATGTTTTTCAAAGGCTTAGGAATATGTGAGGCATACTTCATTTGATCTTCTCCAAATGACGTTTTAGATTGGGTTCTAAAATAGTATAGCTGAACCAGAAATTGGTGCATAGGATCAATGCAGGAATCATCTTACTCTTCTTTTACTCCCTGCCCCCACCTCCCCTTTGCCGATCTTCTGCCTTGCTAACATCCTGCCACTCTCATCCTAGCTTCAGGTGATCCAACTTACAGTTGCTGCAACTGATGCTTGTTCTGGTAGTTGAGGATCACATTTGGCTTTTGAGAACCAACCCTCTTTCTATAAAATAATGACTGCTATATGCACATCTTAAACAGATGGCAGCAACTAGAATCTTAAAATGGAAAGATCTCTGACTTCACACGTTGACATGGATCTTATTGAGAGAACAGTGGATGGGGGCTTGGGAATAGCTCCTTTATGCACACAGCTCTTTAGATAAATGAATACATGCATGTATTTATTTTTGGGAAAGCTACATTAACTGATGTTTCTTTCTGTTTCCTTCCCCCAAGCTCCTTAATTCTAGCAACTGTCCACTCTCTAAATACTCACTGACTAATGACTGATTAGGATGCCTTTAAATTCATGAATGGTTAATCTGAAAGATCTTCAGATAGATAGTGTTGAATAACTACTCTCTCTGAATATTACTTTTTATTGATAGGATCTGAGTTTAGCTGCTTTTGAACCAAGGCACCTGAAGTCGCTGACTTTATGAAAATATAGGCCATAGTTTAGTAGCTAAGCTTGTGGTAAGGCTTTAACTGCATAAGCAGCTATACCATGCACTTATACTATTTTTAGTTGCATCTGAATGGTTTGGCTATACACCAGATAGCAGAAGAATGGATATGGCAGCAACCAGAACTTGATGGCTAGTTATCAATTCCTCAGTAAAACAAGAGTTGGAAGGATATAAATATGGGTGCACCGATAAAGATTTTTGGGGGCTAACCATATTGGCTAATACTGAGCCGACTGCTGATATGTAGCTCAGCAGCTTGGAGAGCAGCATTGGGCTGCTAAGTCTGAGGGGAGGGGGGAGGCAGATCGAGGCCCCCATGGTGAGGGAGAGACTGGGGCTGGGGCTGCACAGCTCGGGTGGGGTGAGGCTGCACCTGCCCCAGCCCCACTCGGGTGCAGCCCGTGGCCCTGAATGCACAGCGAGCAGCCTGTCCTTGCCCTGTGTACAGATCGCAGGGCACATGCCTGACATGCCTAGCCTGGCATGTGCGCGGTGGTGGGAGCCACCCCCCATGCCCATTGAACGAGATGCGTCTCTGTCCTGCAACCCTCCCTCACTGCAGGGATCTCGGTCTGGCCCCTTCCTTTCCCCCTGACTTACCAGCCAGACGCTGTTCTCCAAGCTGCTGGGCTGCACTCCTGGCCATGTGCATGCTGCAGCTGCACACATGCACGTGGCATTTAACAGTGACCTTATCAGCCACATCGGCCAAAAAACCCGATTGCCGATTTTAATGTCAATTTCCCTTTTATCTGTGCGGATATGATACGGACCAAATTTACATTGGTGCACTTCTAAAAGTTAAATCATTAAAGTTTTCCAGGCAGTAACACAACTCTGATCAACTAATATTTTCTGAGAATAAAGTCCATTCTATCAGTCATGATTAGAGGTTTTTGGAGTCTAGTGAATATACTAAGTATACGGGAAAATAAAATTGACATGGACATGATCAGCAATTGGTAGGCTGCCTTTTATTAAGGAGGCTTCCCAGTATTGCTAACACAGTCCATACCAATTCATTGAGCAAAAGGGAGTCTCTTTCAGCCTTTCTTAATGTAGGCAAAGCCATCACCTATCAAATAATGTCTCTTGGGAAGAGGTAGAAATGTTGCTTAAGCTATTGAGAAAAGGAAAATACCGGAAACGTGAAAAAGTTTCTAGCATATCAATTCTAGAATCGTCTAGAAATAGTAATTGTCTTTTTATTGCCTAAAGAAACTTTTAAGGAATAGAACTTGAGCTCCTTTACTGCTTATTGTTAGGTTAAGGTAATGTAGCAAAAAATCCTCCATAGCAAAGGAATTTAATGTAGTCCTTTGGTTGTCTGTTTAGTAATCTCTTCTCTTGCTTTACATATCCTAATATTTATAGATTTTGGTTTGTCATGTAGCCTCAATTTATTCAAACTGATTGAGGACAAAACCTTTTCCTAAAATCAAACCATTTTGTTAATGGAATGCTTATTAAATATATTCCAATGCTGTAAGCAAAAAGTTTCATAACGGAATCAGTAAAATGGAAAATGGTGCATATTTTTATTTATTGTCCCCCCTCATTGAGCAGTTCTTTCTTAGTTGCCATTGCTGTGATTTCCATTACACACAACATCAGTTGGTAATATGCCACGCATTTGGATAAACAGAGTTTAGATAAATGACTCTGTTGTATTTGTAAGCACTTTTATCTTTAAATCAAGACTGCTTTTTCCTGACTTTACTGTATATGTCTTGGCTGTTGATAGCTCGCCAATTTTTTCAAAAAATTGATAAAAAACATGTATTTCCGCATGTCCAAATACTTGCCCAGTAAAAGTTGCTTTTGCTGCTAAGTGGGGTAATCTCTGCTTGGATGGAAACCTCATTCATAGTGTTTAAAATGTGGAAAATAATTGTGTCTGTCACACTTTCACAAATACCGCTTTCTTCATATTGTCCAGTATCATATTTCCATGTAGCATACTACACTAAACATTACGTATATGCTGTTTCCTGCTTATACCATGGAAAAAAACTTGAAACAAACGGCCATGAAACTTCCATGGAACTAATGTGTGGATTATGGGCTAGTAAGATGACCACTGAAGCCACCTTTGTTTATGTTGTACTTTTTGTCAATTCATTTCAGGATGAAAACTTTGATGGCTTTGTAGTTGAAGTCTGGAGTCAGCTGGGAAATCAAAAGCAAAAGTATGTATGAGTCTTTAGGGTGAAGAGCTTGAAAATAGTTTCTAAAATAGAATCTTAAATTCAGGTTGAATTTTAATTCCTTACTTGCAGTAAGGAGGGAGGTTGGTTTGTATTTATGGTGCAGTTGGGGAGGGCTCTTTCTTAATAAAATGCTAGTTATGTTTAAGATTAGGAAAAGGGGAATAGCACCCTCCCACCTCCTGTAAACTCTTAAATTTGAGCCAAGTATTTCCTCACAATGGGACTGTTGAATTGTAGTGAAGTTGCAATCATATTTAACAGTATGGTCTTTTAAATAACAGTAGCCCACTGCCCTCCTGCCATTCCTTCACATAGCACTAACTTTTTAAAATACTTTTTCAGTTCAACAAAAAAACCAGTGCTCTTCAATTTCATTATGCAGCAGGGAAGCAAATGCTTTTGTATCTGTGAACAGGTCTGAATTTTGGGGGCGTAATTGGGAGAGCCTCAAAAATTCAGAGAGGTTAAGACTTGAGAAGGATTTGTAAAGACTTCCTGTGTGAAGTTGCCCAATTGTTTCTACAATTGCTTAAACTTGGTTATCTGTCTGGTTTTTTTTTTTTTTTTGTGTTTGGTGCCATGTTTGAGTACTTGACTGAAACGGGCTTTGGTCCTGTAAAGTACAATATAATCTGAACAATGGGTTTATCTGTAGATTCACAATATAGACATTGCCAGTGGAAGAACAACTTCCTGGGGCTTGAAACATTTATGCAAATAAGACATACCTTCTGATTGGCAGCATGTTGGGTAACCAATCATGTTAATGCCTGACTTGACCTCACCCGGATCCTCTAATTGAGACAGTCCCTAAAAGGGATTTAATGACCCTTCTGATGCAGAGTTGGGAGCTGTATATTAACTTGGCCACTGCTCAAATAGCAATGCCAAGATTTTCCAAGGAAAAACAAGTCCCTCCTGGTTTATAAGGGTGGATGCATGTGTTCTTGAAGAGAATTAGCAGTTCAGGCTTTTTTCTAATGGGTGACCAAATGTGTAGCCCCTTACTTAGCAAACCTCTTCCTGAAATAAGAAAAAACCCTGACACAGGACTGCCAGACTAGTCCCCAAGACTAGAACTCCACAGGTAGGATGCAGTGTCTTGCTGTTCAAGGGTAAACTGTTTTCTTATTTTTAATAAATACCTATTCTACTTTAATCTGGATTGAATTATAATAATTGTTGTGTGTGTGGACACTGACTTGGTGTGCATCACTGACATTGTGGAACTGAATAAAACTGGTAATAGAAGAGATTGTAGCTAGTGGGAAGCTTATTTGATAGGGTGAAGTAGAGGCAGAGAACCAAACCAGGGCAACTCCTGTAGGATTAAGTTTGTGGGATGAGGGGAAACTTCACATTCTGGCCCTAACAGAATTGAGTCTTCCTATTCCACAACCATAACAATGCGCTATCATGAAAGGTAAGACTAACTTAAAGCTCTCAATTAAAAAAAAAAAATGCTAACAGCAACTAGAGACCAATTTTAAATGTAAATAATACACTCAAAGTCTAACTTGCGAATCACCCAAAATGACACAGCATAAGGGAGGTTGCTGACTAAATTATAGGGAGAGTTCACTTCATTTGGTATGTTTCCAAGGTTGGGTGCAATAGCTTGGTTGTTGTTTTTTTTTTGTTTTTTGTTTTGTGCATTAGCAAGACTTTGGGGTGACTTTAAGAAGTTTATGAACAGTTGCGTTTCTTTCAGAATCTGCTTTCTCTCTGCCAGATGATTCTGTCTGGACCACAGCTGCTCCTCTGAAGGAGAATTGTATCTGGCCCACAGCTGTCCTGGCTTTTAGCTCCTCTTGCCCTTCTCCCTTCCCCTCACCATAGCCAACTGCAGCAGCAGCTCCAACTCCAGTGGCCAGGCAGCTACTATCCTCCCCAGCCTGGCCTGCCCTGCTCTGCTCCCCCAGCTCTCAATGTACACTCCAAGGCAGGGGGCACTGGCTTCTGCCTGGTGAGGCTGTCTGCATGCAGCTCTGACCCTGTGTCCATTTGCAGACCAGACAGCCTGAACCCTGGTGAAAAGTCAAAGCTCAGGCATGGCTCTCCCCACTGGTGGGGGAAGAGGGTCAGGACTTTGGGTTGGCTGAGCCGGACCAGGCCAAGGTCTGTTAGGGGCACGGGTGCCACTAACACAATGCCATGCTGTGTTCCTCTGCTACTTGGGTATAGCTGGCATGGCTCCTGCTGGAACCTGGCACAGCCTCTGCCTAACCCAGAATCCTCACAGCATGCAGCAGGGTCAGGCAGAAGCTGCTTCAGTTGTGCCTATGTCATGCAGAGTGGCATGCAAGAATATAGTGTGGCATTGGCCCAGCTTGGCTGCATGCTGGCAACTTGGGGTGGGGCAGTGGGTGCAAGGAAAAGTAGGGAACACATCTGGGTCTGGCTGGGCTGGTGTTGTACTAACTTGCAGCTTTTGGCCCCCTTCTCCCTACATCCTCTTTCCTGCCCCAAGTCCTTGACACATAGCTGGGCTGGTGCTGTAGTGTGTTACTGTGTGCCACTTAAGGTCATAAGAGTGCAGCTGCCTGACCCAGTCCTATGCTGGGGACTTGGGGAGGGGAGGTGTGCATGTGCATCCTTCAACAGCTCACCGAAACTCGTTAAGTGGCCCTCCAGCCCAAATGATTGCCTACCCGTGGTCTCGCCCTATGGTGCTGTGGCATTTCATTCAAAAAGTTTGCCTCTGCTGTAACCACTGTACTTGTAAGCTTACTCCTATCTCTGTATTCATAGCAGCAGACTATCTTTTCACTCTTCTTGGGACAGGTAAACATTCAGTAGTTTAAAGCACCAATTTATCTGATTTAGCTTGTGCAAATGAGCTAACTTACTGCTTGAGAAGATGGCTCTTGTCTTTTGCTTTAGTGCACGGGGTGAAATTAGAAGACTAGGTTTTCATCAGTGGCGTAGAGTGGGTCTCCAATGTCCAGGGGTCAATGCTTGCATTTGTAGTCCCCCAGCGGCCGATTTGAGCCTGGGCACGCCGGTGGCAAAAACGGAAGTGTTGCCAGGGGACCAAGTACCCCTCGGAGGGCCTGGCCGATGCCCCCACCCAGGCCAGTGCCTGGGGGCATGTGTCTGTCCCCCCCCCCCCCCCCCCGCCCAGTTGCCACACCATTTGTTTTCATGCATACTTTTTGTGGATAAGCATTCATGGATTTCTGCTGCTCACCAGAAAAAAAAAATACTGGTATGAGGCTGTGTCTGTCTTCAGTCAAGCCACATGGTGGGAGTATTGTAACATAATTGCTACATTGCACAAACTGGTTTCCAAGGGATTGTATTTCAAAAGTAAAAACTTTCACTTCTGATGTTTTGTTATTGGTATCAGAAGGTAGGAGAAGATGAAGCTGGATGTTGGCATAAGAACGAACTCCTATACCTGTAAGCAAGTAGGACCTTTGACAGAACAGTGATTTATGCATACTTTCATATAGAATATTGGTTTTTGTTGTTGGATTGTGCAGAAAGGTCCTCTGAATCTTTCTTTCTTTCATCTGAATAGGTTAGGCTATCCTTTTTTGGAATCTGACCTCAAAGTAGCTGTAAAATCATAGTGGAACTCCCGTGAATCTCTGAAAGCGGAAAACAGCCGAATTCTTAAACTGTGGTGGCAAGCCAACAAAGAAACCTCTCTTACTGATATGCAATGGCAGTTGCACCTGTGACTATGTTTTATAGTCTGTAGAAATGAGCTGGCTTGCAGCCATTAAGTCTACATCCCTGTTTTGAGTTTGGCAACCAACAGCTGACTACCAGGAATTTGTAGCAGATTGTTAGGTGCCCGTTTATTGGTTGTTCGATAGTTTTGGTCCAACCTATGTATAAACAAGCAAGCAAACAATACTCCCTGCCCCTGCAATTTTTTTTTCTTTGAACCAGCATTGGCATTGTGCAGATGTGAATGAAAATAAGTTCTAGAGCTGTCGGAATGGTTACATACTTAAATGGCACTTCGGTTAAAAGTGCTACCTCCTTGAAGTCCATTGGAAAGATCAAAATGACAAGGTGGCTGCTTGGTGGCTAGACTCTGTTGGTTAATAGTAGCTCAGAAACAACTTCATCAAAATACTTTTGTTTTATGCCTTCAAGCAGAGGTACAAAACATGGGGGGGGGGGGGGAGAGAGAGAGAAGAGCAAAGAAAGCCCAAACGAACAATAAGCACCTCTATACACATTTCTGTTTTTCTACTCCTTAACCTTTCTTCGCGATAATTTGATAGCTTCCTGGCACCCAGCTCATCTCTAACTGGTTGGGAGAATTTGAGTGTCTCAAGTGGGCATATGCAGCTTGCCAACCTGTACATTCTTGGTCTAAGCTCCTCTATGCAATCTAGCTCACTAAAATGTCCCACTTCTTTTTTTTTTTTTCTTCTTAGCTTAGGTCTAATAGTGATTTTTTTTTTTTTTTTTTTTTAATCACTTATTTCTTGCTTAAGCAAAACTGCTATGACACCAAACTTGGGGCATTCATTATGGCTATCAATCCAGTTATTCTATTTGGCCATTCCTTGTACAGACACCTGTTGCTTTTTTTTTTTTTTTTGCTTGCTTCCCCTAACACTACCTTCTGATTTAACTCTGTAACAAAAACCTCCATTATAATTAGTGACATAGAGTATAACTGGCTGATTAAGGATTCTTCTAGATGCTTTTCAGTTCATTATATGTATGTCTGCCTATATAGGAATGTTTAAAGGCAAGGGGGTTACTACTTAAACAAAACAAAAATACCCTTTCTTGGTAAGGCATCTAGCTGAGTTAAATCTTTATATTCATCTCTGCTTGCTGGGCCAAAATGCCTGCTGTCCCTTTCACTTCAGCTAGTTCTTTTTAGTGCAGGTGCACTACATTGCTAGCTGCACTGGGATTTGAAATTCTGAGTTCCCAGGTTCCCCTTCTTTACCCTTTTTGTGAAGGGGAACCAATATGGGCCTCTCATTTTGTTTTCAAGAGCAAAA